CCCAAACCCAAACCCAAACCCAAACCCAAACCCAAACCCAAACCCAAACCCAAACCCAAACCCAAACCCAAACCCAAACCCAAACCCACTCATTGTGGATAAAAAGAAATTTTTTTTAAAATAATTTATTTGCTAATGTATAAAAACTAGCTAAATTAATATTATATCTATTATGTGAACTAGCAGGTTAAAAAATAGAGATTGGTCTGAAGAAATAATTCTTTAAATTATAGAATGATTTAATTACCTTTTAAGGTGTAGTAATAATAATAATTTATATAGGGAATCTAGCTGTGACAATGAGAATATAAAAGAGAAGCCAATTTGAAAGAATATATTGATGCTTATCTTCCTATTGTCAACACTTTACAAAATAATGGTATTAAATGGTGTTTACTTCAGTATAATATTCCAAACTTAATCTGATACAGCTATCAAAGTTAAACTGAAGATCAAAAAGTACAGTTAAATACTGATTAACAATAATATATTTCCTATTTCTATTAAAGAATAATTTAAAGGTGAAAGCGAAATTCCAAATTTATCATTAAAATTATAACATCTCTCAAAGAATTACTTATTAAATGCCAATAATTAGGGTAAAGTATTTATTTCATTGTGAAGTCTAAAATATTAGAAATGAGTTGCATAAAAGAACAATATAAACATCCTATGATAATATCATTCTAATTGATGATTTGATTAAATATAGACTTCTTTTAATGCTTTATATTAAACTAATAGTCAATAAATGAAAGATAGAATCTTTTACAAGGTTTTTGATACTCTATTACTTTATAGAGAGTGTAAAGAAATAATATCAATTAAATAAGTAAATGATTAAAATATGCTTGAGAATCTATAGAAATTTAACAAATTAGATCAACAAATTAAAGAAATAGGATTATAGCATAAAAGTGATATAAAATAATTATCTGAAATAAATAAAAGTTATAGTTCTGACATTCTAAGAACAAAATAAGCAGAAATTGAAAAAATAAAAGTACTAAAAGAATAAGATATTTAAAAAAATTAAGATAAACATAATAAACTTGAATTTGAATTAAATTAGATTGCGATTTCATTTATGACTCAAAATTAGAAATTATATTATTATAAGATTACAATGAAATATTAAAAAGAAATTAAAGAATTACAAAAGAAAATAAATTAAGAAAAATTCTTTAAATTTGCAATGGCAAACCTAATGTTAATAATTAAACACTTAATTTTTAATAAAAACAAAAAATACAGTAGTAAATATATATTTAAAATACAGATATATTTTCATAATAAGGAAATCTTTAAATTTAAATTGAAATCTATAAACATTATTTAGTCTATCAACTTTCGTCACAATCTCAAGTTTCTATAAATTTAGCAAATTGTGCCAAAAAATCTTAATAGGTTTTATGTTCATATCAATCATGAAAAATTTATTTAACAAGTCTATAACAATGGCAATAGATGGTATTTAAACAAGAGATTGTAGATTAGAAATAAGAAAAATTTCAATATTAGAAACATTTGTATAATAATTATTTCTTGATTATTAGGGTGTTTAAGGAAAGATTAAAATTTACAATCATCATTTGAAATCGTTAAAAAAAAGCTATATATTATTTTTAAGAAGTAAGATTATAGCTAAATGCACAATAAAAGAAAATTTTAAATTGTTCCATACTTATTCTTCGACTATCATAAACTCAATAATTTAATCTATACGAAAATCTTAGAAAAAGTCTAAGAAAATAATAAATAGACAAGGGTAATCAGAAACCTTAAAAATTAATGGATAGTGTCAAGCACTTTCAAATGCTATTATATAATCTAATAAAGTTTTCCCAAAATTAAATAATTGATTTTCAAATTAAGATATAGATGTCATAGAGACCATACTTAAACATCAATAGCTGCTAAAAAACTGTAACACACATGTAAGAAGACTGAGGGTACAGTAACCATTAACTTGAATTTCATGCATTTGATGAAATTCTAAATAACAGTAATAGTTGAGTGCGGTGAATAGTTTATGGTTAAGTTTATTTCTAAATCTGATAAATTAGGCTTCTGTTCGATAATTCTTTTATTTAAAAAGTTAAGGAAATATTCCACTTTTGTTGGATCAATTATCATTATTTGATTTTGAATTAATCCTTTCTTTTATATCTTAAAGCTTAGGATATATAAAAAGTTGACAAATTTAATTAGAAATTTTTTAATTAAGAAAAATATGTATTTTTTAAAGGGGTCAAATTTGTATCCACACTTTTTTTTATGATTTAAAATAAAGAAGATAATCCTATTCTTAATTAAGACTACTTCTAAATTACTAATTGTTATTATTATTAATTGTATGCCTCCCCCTGCTTAAATCTAATCCTCTCCATCTTTATTTTGTTTTAAAAAGTTCTAAATAAAAGTAAAGACTTTTTTATGTAGATTTGTGAAAGATCCAAATTCAATCTCCATGAATTTGTACTTAAATATCTATATATTTTAGATTACTTATTTTTGAACTAAAACAAACAAGTTTCCTCTCCTCAAAAACTAGATGTTTACTTAAATAATTGCATATTATTTAGAAAAATGATTGAATTAAACTACTATATTTTTTAAGTTGGCTTCATTAATTTGAAACATGGTGGTTGCCATTTTAATTAATTTTAAAATTCAAATTTTAGAAGAATTTTGATAATAAGATATATATGTATAGAAAATAAATTAATTAAAATATGGATCAATTCATTTAGAAATGGTAGAAAATCTTTATAAAAAAACCTAACATGTTAAGAATACGATGAACATATTTATTTATCTTAATTAGATTTATAAATGGATCAAATGATTGAAAATAATTAAGAGTAAATTGAAATACTCATGAACATTTATAATAAGCCTCAACTTTAATGATGTGTAAATTTAAATTGTAAGTATTACCTCCTACATTTACTACTTAAAATTCATCTACAAACTAATCTGGAAATTCTATAGACTTCTTATTTATTAAGAAAGTCATAATCCCAAAACAAAATTTTTAATGTATTCAATAAATATTTTTATAGAAGTAATATAGAAATATATTGCCCTAATTCACATTAGGTATAGGGTATTCCACTTGACATTATTTTATAAATACTATCTCTTAAACAAACTCCATAATTCCCTTCGTTAAAGTAATTAATTTTTTTTGATGAAATCAATGCTCCTTATAAATATGATAAAACATTCTAATGATTTCTCTTCAATAATTAATTTAAACTCTTTGATTATCTGATACAATTCTATTAAGTTATTTAAATTAAGATTAAAATAATTATCAGTGTTAGTCCATTCTTCATTTATTACTTATTATTATTATTAAAAATAATCATCAATAAATATGTATTATTTCCTTAAAATAATCTAATAGTATTTGAAGTGTTATGGAAAAAAAGTATTTGATAAAGTGTTTCAAAAACTGAGATGCTCTAAAGTATTGTTAAATATGAAAACAAAACAAAAATAAGTTTTTAATCAAATTATCATTTTTTTTATATATATAAACTAAATATATTCAAACTACGCTATCTGATTTCATTAAATTTTCTCCTAATCATTTTCTATTAATTCACTCTTCTTTCAAATAATTCAGATATGAATAAATAACTATCAATAAAATTTAGAAAATTACTCATAAAAAATTAGTTAATCTTATCAGTTTTATCATGCTATTTGACCAATAGGCAAACAATATTTTAAGAATCACCTTAATTATGAATAGTTTATCTCATATTATTTTTTAAATTTTGATTTGATTACAAATTAAACGAAACTAAGCTTGGGATAAATTTAGTAATCAATTGAGTTATTATGAAGTGTTATAAAAGTGCTCTTAAATCAAATCGAAATTCTCACTGATTTGTTCTAAAAGGATAAATGTATAATGAAGAAAGATGATAATATTGATAGAAAAGTGAACTCTTTTCTAATTTATATTAAGTGAGATCACCTACTTTTAACTATTGATTATATTGACTTTTGAAAGTTTCAACATTGATAATATTAAAAGTTCCTTTTAAAATTCTATTGTATTGTCATAATCTAGTACCAAAGTTCTCAATATAAAAAAATAAAATTTTTCTAAATCTTTCTAACAAATACTTTAATAATTAAACTAAATTTACATAACATAATACTATCAATTTTTTCATATAAATCTAGCTTGATTAGTTTTTTATAATTATATTCTGTTTTCTCATTCAATTCATAATAATCTGGTTATTCTTTAGATTAATCAATAAATGAAAAGGAATATCAATAATGTAAACATTATAATTTAATCCAATTCTTAATCATTTTTTTAATAATCCTACACATTTTTCCTAAATAATCATCATATTTTTCGTATAAGACCTTTAATTGCAAATGTATCTACTTTTTGACAGGGGATATATATGAGAATTCTAGTTCTTTCTAACATTACTGTCGAATAAGAAAAAGAGCAGAAATGAATTTCAGATATAAAAATTTGAATTGAGTGAAACAGATGTGTAACGATGATAACGAATATTGCAAAAAATTTCTAATTGGAAGAATCAACAAGGAATAAGGTTGTAGAGAAAGTTCTTTGGAATTTTGAGCATTGTTTGAAAATTTAGATCAATAAATTAATGTAATCAAATTGTTAATATGAATTGTTGTATTGTTGTGTAAATTTTCGATTATCGATAATCTGAAAATACATTGTTCTGATTTAGAGTCAATCATTTTAATCCAAATTTTATTTTACATCCTAAATGAAAGAGAAAAGCGTAATCAATGATTACTCAACCTTCTCTTTTTCAAATAATATTTTAATAGGAAAATTTACAACTGAAAAAATAGCACTTGAATCTCCAAGTTAAAATAGATTTTTACCCAAATTTTATTAAATATATAATATTTATTAATGATGAAATTTATAATAATCTAGATTTCAAAAAAGGTATTTAACTTTTGATTAAATTTAATAAAAATTATTCGTAAGAGATTTTATTAGATTGAGCTAAAAAAAATCAAAGTTTAACAAAAAAATTAAATTGAAGTTAAAAAGAAAATATTTTTAAGAATAACACCCATTTTCGAATGTATAAGCATGTTATTCTTTCTTAAGAATTCCTAAATAAGGGATTGTCTTTTTTGTTCATGATATTAAATTGAATTCATTATATCTTCTAAAGCCTTTTCTAATTATGATATTATTTCTAAAATAAAACTTTCAAATATTCATTATTCTGATCACTAAATAGTTCCTTTGAATTAAATTTTTAAGTGTTATTATTCAATTAGTAAATAAGCTTTATTATGATTTAACAATTTTTCATTTATGGAAATTAGATTTTCTATATTTCTTTATGATTATCAGTATTCTGATACAATACTATAAAAAAGTGGTTAGGCTTGTTTATATTAATTTTATTTACATAAGAGACAAGTTTAAAGGCATGTTTAGGGTTTTTAAAAGAAAAATGTAAAAGCTAAACTATATATAATCTGCTGTGAATAGTAAAAGAAATCAATATTAAATTAATGATGCCTGTAGCAATAATGGATTAAAATTTTTGCAATTAAAATAGATTCATTTGATGGATTTTTGTTAGTTCTGAATCTTAATAATACAATAAATCTCTATATAAATTACAATCAATTTTTTTTTGCGCATTCTCTGATTATCATTACATCTATAAGATGTAAAATTTGAATAATTTATTTCTTCAAATGCTTATGTGATCATAAATCATTCATTAAAATTTCGGCCATTTTTATTAATGAATATAATAAATGATTGAAGGATTGGATTTAGATAAAGGATAATAATTAAATAAATAAATATAACTAGTTTATGTAACCACTCTTTAATAAAGTATTCGAATTATCTAGGATTATAATTTAAATTAATGAACATGATTAACTATCATTATTTAGTCAATCATGTTCATATAAATATTATTATTATTAAATACTAATTATTCTACGTTACGATTCCCTCTTATTTATTGAAATGCAGATACTATTCCTCAATCAATTATAAATTGTTTTTCATTTATTCATAATTCTATTAACCTAAACATTGAGATATCTTAGAAAATATTATTTTTATGCTCTCCTATTGGATCAAATTAAATTATTAAATTAATGTATAAGTTCTTATTCAAAGATAAAGACTGAATAAAGAAATGATTACCCATAATCTTATCAAAATTTAAGATATCAAAAGTAATTCAAGAAAAAATGATCTTAAAAAAGTTTTATGGTTTTTTTTGGTATACAATATTTATCTAAAGTGTTCTAAATTTATAAGAAATAAGTAACAATTGAAATTAACAAAAAAGAAGAAGATTAGATGGAATATGATTATGAAATAAAAACTTCGAATTTTAGGCTTGAATTGGTTAGAGTGAATTTTTGCTATATTACTGAAATGAAGATTTAGAAAGATTGAATTTTAGTTGCCCTTGATTGAATTGAAAATTAGTTGTTTAATCAAAGCACACTATTTTAATAATATATTGTCAGTCATGAATTTAAATACAATAATAAGATATTATTATAATTTCATTCTTTCAATAGTTTAAAAATACTTACATATCTTAAATTTCACCTAATACACTTGAATCATCATATAATTATTTCATTTGTGTATCATTTTATCAAAAATGTAATTTATTTTTCATTTTTCACATCTACTTGAAGTTGGTTTTGAATGGGCCTTTGGAAAAACAATAAGCAATATTTTAAAAGGAGTAGCAGAAATTACTTTGCCATTTAGGTTTACAGCAAATGCAAATAAAAAATTAAAAAGGTAATTGAATGATTTAAAATGTTTATTTGAATATTAAAAAAGATTAATTGATTAAAATATAACCAAAAGTATTTTTGAAATGAACATAGCTATGGTTGGAGTAATCAAAAATTTTAATCATATAAAAAAGACAAAATTTAAATAATTAAAGAGCCATCATGGCTTTGTTAGATAATCACATTGAAAATCATGGAAATTCTTAATTGGCTTAAAGAATTAGATATTGGTTACCAAACATTTAAAATTGTCATTTTACAGATGATCATCAAAGCCTTATAAATTTTTTAAATCAAAACTACATTACTTTTTTTGATCTTATAAGGATCAATGGCAAATGAAACTCTACATATGCTATTAATATTCCCTAATATTTATTCAATTCTTATTTATTGTTAGTTTCCTGAGAAATATGAAGACCTAATACAAAAATTTAAATAAATTGTATTTATCACAAATTAATAAGATGAAGTGATTGTAACATTAAAAAAAAGGGTAGCACCTTTTTTAATTTTAAGAGAAATCAATTTATACAAGTTTTCTAATTATTTTTAACAAATTGTGGCACTTTATTATCTTTCTGAGTAATTTTCTTAGAGTAGTATTCCTTTCTATTAAAAAATGAAGCTCTTAAAATAATTTAAGATACAATGTAATGTGTGCCAAATACTATATACATATGATCTCAAGAGGCTTAAGTAGAATTAGCTCTTTAAATTCATGAGAAATTAAAAAATGGACAAATTAAGGTTATAATTCATCTCTATCCAGGACCTAGTGGATTTTGTAAATTTCTCAACACAATTCTATAAATTTTAATCGAAAAGGGAATTTTAGATGCTTCAGTCATAATAAAATCATTAAAATACAGTTTAGAAAATACTAAGACACATAGATCCAAATTTATTTGCTTCGAGTGATTTTTTCCTATATAGAGGAGTAGATTGTACGATCGAATAATTTAGACTAAAGCATAAATCATATGATTTAGCAGAGATTTTGCAATTAGTAAATTCTATGCTAAGGATTTGGGCATTATATTTAGAATCTCGTTTAATGAAAATAATTTAGATGACTCTCATTTTTAAATGGTCAGACCCAAGTCTATTTATACGGTTTCAGAATGAATAAGATTATTTATTTTCTTGTTTTTTGAGCTTCATAATTACAAAATTTAATTAAGATAATATCATAGATATAGAATTTGTTAAAATTTGAATTTATTTGATCAAATAATTAGTTAGTATATTTATTGTATTTTTAATATGTGGGAAACTTCTACATTCAAATCACGTTAATTAAGGCTAATCTGCCTTTTTAACTTCAACTTTAATTACATTTTCATAATTAATCCAGAATTTTGGCATCATCAATTTTTTCAACAAGATACCTAAATTTGTCATTGTTCATTATATAATTTTCTTTCTTATACATTTTTTAATTTATCAGCTTCAATACTTTTTATTCATCTGTTATAATCAAAAGCTAAAAAATCAGTTGGATAATTATATTTAAATGAATAATCATTTTTAACTTATTCTCTTGAAAGATTGTTT